GCAGTTGCCCTCAGTACATCATCTAAGCAACTCAGCCACAATTACATTCACAAATACAGAGAGATAAAAACACAAATAAATTACAGCACTTCAATAATCCTAGTAAAATGAAATACATTTGCAAAATAAAAAAGAGGGTAGCCATTCACACCGACAGTCCACTACTCAAGGGGCACTCAACTAAAGGTATCTTAGCAACAAGGGCCACGGTTCACGCCACTATGACTGTCTCCCAAACTCCTAAAATTTCCCGCTAAAGGTTGTCCTCCTCTCTTCTCCGTGAAACCTGAAGCTAACCATAAATATCCCATTTACCCAGCAACAGAAAGGTTGTGTCAACAGCATCCATACTGTAGGTCTCTTACCAGACAATAGGAGCCCACAGCCTCACTCACCACAGATAACCTGCAGTCTCATTCTGTTAGTGAGTGCTACACATCGGGAACACAACGCAGCATCGCAGCGGCAAAGCTACTGTCGCATCCGGGTCACCCTGCTCATCAGGACATCTCTTGGTAGTGTGGGAGTGTTTGTGTGTGTGTGTGTGTGGGGGGGAATATAACATGTAGAGGAAAGAGGAGATAGTGTCATACAGTGAACTGTGTTTTATGAAGGACCAGTAGTTGGGCACTGCTGGGTGAAGCAGCCGTTTATGGCTTCCATTGGTAATGGGTACATATAAGGACATACACTCCATCTCCAGCTCCCTTTCATCACAGAGGTTGAGTTACGAACATGAGTACTGGCAAAGAAACGCAACACATACAGCCCAAGATAGATTCCTATAATTATTCAATTCAATTTGGGACTCTTCATTCATGTCTTGCACAACACCTTAATTCTTAGTCACATATTTAATTGGTTTTATACAATTTTCTTTTAACTTTTCTCTTTTAAACCCCTATGTATGTACGTTTAGTTATTTTGTTTCTTCCGGCTCTTGTCTTAATGAATTTGTATGTCTTCTGTAAAGCACTTTGAGTTGCAGTAGTGTTGAAAGATGCTGCACAAATAAACTTGCCTTTGCAGTTGATAGAAGAAATATAGGGAAATGAGGAGGTAAAAAGAGATGCATCACGTGTGTGTGTGTGTGTGTGTATGTATGTGTATGTGTGCGTGTTTCTTTATGGCCCAGATATAAATAAAAGGATTGTTTTTCTCCAGAATAGTAGGATATTAATATGTGAAAATATAATGCAGTTATAGTCATGGGTTATTATGAAGCAATCAATCACAGGAATAGCTCCGAACTGCATGTTTCATGATAAATATATTCATCTGCCTCCTCATTTTATACAACAGAAGAGCAGACTGTGGAAAATAACCTCCACAGAGATTTTGAGTAGGTGTGTTTGCTGATATTGCAAAACGATGATGTGCCCTTGGAGCTTCTTCCCAGAGTGTTGCTATGCAGACCTGCTACCTTCAGGCTATAAGAGACCTGGAAAGACAACAAACATAAAAAACACATGCAAACTTAAGCACACACAAACACACACACACATATAGAGAAACAGACTCATCTCTGTAGACAGGGAATGAGTCATCTTCTATTCCAGGCCCAACTGTGACCCAGCCGGGTCATGTAAACAAGACAAGAAAACTGAAAACCTAAATATGGGGGCTGCATATGCAGGCAGCAACTACTGTATCTGTAACAGAGGGGCAGCTAAAGTTTCAACCAGTAAGATGAAGGTACCAAAAAAAGAAAAGAAGCTTTTTGAAAAGGAAAAAATCCCCACAAAAAAACGAGCATGCAAAACCTCACAGCTCCTACCCTGCAGTCTGTGTGGAATGTAGATTGGTGGGTTGGGTGAGCAAATGTTCCTGGAGCACAACCCCACCTCTCCAGGAGGCATGTGCTCAGCTGTGCATTTGTGTGTGTGACTAGTGTGCACTCAGCTGTGAGTGTGTCATTGTGCATATATGAGGTAAGGAACAGTAGGCTGGAGTCGGCTTTTGTGCATGTGGGGACATGTGTTGTATCTCTTTCTGTGGGTGTTGGTGTGTGTGTGTGTGTGTGGGGGGGGGGGGGGGGGGGGTG